TGCCCCACACTACTGGAGATCAGGGTCTGAGCTCTCTCCTGTGGGCCATTCAAACTGAGTGCTGAATACTTTACCATATTCAATCTATGTGAGAGATTGACTTCCTAAAGAAATATAGAAGAATTAGGGACTGTACGATATTTACCGGGGGGGAGGGCTGGTGCAAAATGGTCCGGTAAAAATTTTTTTCCATGGCCCTCCCCCCGGCTCAAAATTTTTTTCAATGGCCCTCCCCCCGGCTCAAAATTTTTTTCAATGGCCCTCCCCCCACCCCAAAAAATTTTTCGGTGGCCATCCCCCCCATTTTTCCAGTCCATGTCTCTTTCTCCCTCCGTAAAGTCCCGAATGAAGTACGCATCCCGATTAAAGTACGCACCCCCGATTTGGGGCTTGTGGGAGACAAATATTACCGTCTGAAACGTAAAATGGAAAAACTCGAATTAAGTACGCACCCCTTCTACGCACGGCCGGTACCACAGTGAACATGTAGTATGACAGTTCGTTGTTCCAAACAAATTTAAAATTGTTAAAAACTAGCTTTATGCCGTGTACTACGTGATGGTATGGTAACGTAGCGGGAAACGTTTCAAGTTCTTTTGTTTTTCATCGCCGGCGGCAGCCGACTTGCAAGACGTCACCACCGCATCGAAAGGTAAGGCAAGTGCGGCGAAACGCACAGATTTGGATCCAGCTTTGGAGTGTTGGTGTCTTGGTGATCAAACAAGCAATAGTCAATAAAGATTCGTGAAAAAAAGACAATATTTCAATATTGATTTTATCGGTAACGAGGGGGGGGGGTACTTGAATGTTGATGCACAGGTACGTAGCTTTAATGTTTTTAATACGAAATGCGCCGAACACTTCTTTAATAGCGCCCGCGCGATTGACCCATGGAGAGAAACAATCATACAGGCGGAGAACTGGGCGGAGTATTTGGGTGTTGAGGTGCTACCGAATTTAAAATTTGACACCGAAACCAATTAACACACTGGGATCAATGGGACTTTCGATTCCGAACAGGAGAAAGTGACAAGTTTGACTGCGTTTCAAGTAATCTCTCGTTATGTGATAGATGTTTTTGTCACAAAATCAAAGGAATAAACAGTGTGTTTATTAATTTGTACTCCGTAAAACTACAGTACTATAAGTACAGTCTGTTCAGAGGAAAGAAAGACTTCCTTCTCGGGGTCCATGTTCTGGAAAGCTGTCCTCAGCGCTGCGCATGCCACGGCCCTCTCTGTGTTCTTCAGCTGTAGGTGTACTTTGCCTGTCGGCGCGCCAAACACCCCACCCACCGGCCGGGCGGTAAGATTTCATCAAAGGCTACATTTTAAGTTAACTCCACCCCTATCATTGTAGCTTGCCGAACAGTCGAGTAGGAGTACATCTAGATGGAATTGTCACGTCGTACTGACTGGTGTAGCCCGCTACAAAGTAATTTCCTGTGCATGTGGCATTTATCAAGATTTAAAAATATTTGTGATACGAAGTGAAGCATGGTTAATAATATAACAATTTCTGAACCTTTGAAACGACATGGGCATAATCTTTGTTGAAGATTCCTGAGTTGAACTCAAGCCGGAAGTGTACTGGAAATAATGACCATCAGTCGAGGCACAACTGTTATGTTATCACATGTTACGTTACGACGATCAAGAACGTTCACGGCTTGCGGACCATTTCAAATATTACCACTCATAAACCCTACAATTGTATGTGTACTTACGGGAGGTTATATTTTTGCCGGGGTTCCACTGAGATCGGCGCCGGCTCGCTGGGGAACGATCCCGTCGGCATGACAAAGCGCCGGGCGTCATTGCCAGAGACCTACATTTTCTTACCGTGGGTGACTTGACTTCTTCTTTTACCGCAACTTGGTGTCAATATCGACGATAGTCACAGGAAATATGTTCATTTACTGAAGTTTAACTTTATTTCCACTCGTCAATATTCTTATCTAAACATGCTATGGACGATCGATGTTCCAAGCTCCCCGTGCCGGTGTCCCGCTTTATTCCTGGGTCGTCCACGGATTTATCGGCGGAAAACTCAAATAAAGTACGCACCGCGACTTTGGCGACGGCCCGAGACACTTCTGGGATTTCGAAAAATGAAAAAAGTGCGTACTATATTCGGGAATTTACGGCGTATTTCTTGTAATTCGGTACTACGCGACGCCATATTTTACAAAAGTTTTTCGGTGACCCTCCCCCCCAGGCCGATTTTTTTTTTTCGATGGCCTCCCCCGGCTCAAAATTTTTTTCCATGGCCCTCCCCCCAGGCC